GGGCCTTGGCTGTGCCCAACCCATGAAACCTGGTGTTTACGTTCGAGTTTCCTACTATATTTCTTGGATTAAGAGTGTAATGGAAAATTACTGATCCTGGGTATGGACTGTCCTCTCCTGGAAAGCAGTATGCACGTTAGAAAGACAAGATTCCAAGTACAATATTAAAGCTACAATCATTCATCAGAAAGTAAAATAAATACAATAATCCTTTTAAAATTTCTATAAATTAACAATTATTGCTAAGAAACCCAACTGACAGTTTGTTACCTTCTCTATATATGATCTGTGGTTTGCTCTGTTTGCCAATAGGCTTACCCAGCTCTGAAATACATGACAAAAACTCCAACCTCAACTGTAACTGTGCATCTGCGTTTCAATCTTATAAGGACCTACAATAATTTTTTTTCTAAGGTTGACTTTCCCAAGATGTGTTTCCAGCAAGTGAAGAAAGGAGAATATTTATCATTTTCTATAAGTTGAGCCTCTTACCAATTTAATGTTACAAACTGAAGAAGAATCTCCCTGTACATCTTATATGCATGTGAAGTTATATTAGATATATCTGATAGCATTAAATACATGGGATAGGGAAAATAAAAGAAGCGAACACATTTTGTTTTTATTTTCATAGTTTTTATTGACATGGAAATCTGTGTGTCAGCAAAAGTACAAATGTTGCTTCAAAGTTATAAAACAGTGAATAAAAAATAGCCTTACCCTAAAGTTAGTCCATTGCAAAGACAGAGAAGTAACTGTCAATCATTACAGCAAGTAATGACAATGTATATAAATTATTATAAAATTTTGTTTTCTGTAGTAGCCATTTGATTCACTATATAACTTTATCTCACTGTATAACCTTATATGTACATTTTTCTTCTCTAAAAGAAAATTTTGTACACATGCCTTTGGTTATACAAGTGAAAGCTTAGACCTTTAGAAATTATTTCCAGGGAAACCTTGGCTCACACTTGCCAAAAATAAACACTTGCTAACTATCAATCACTGCTCCCATCCTGCACACCTTTCGCAGCAGCCAGGGAGCTCCCCACATGTGGCTGGGGACTCTGCCTCTGCAGGACATCCTTCCTACATCTCCAGAGTGTGTTCAGTGTACTCCAAATGACACAGGTACTCCTTGGGCTGGGATTTGTCTAGTCCACTTTCTGCAGTGCAGAGGCTCCCTCTAGACATGCCAAGCTGCACATAATTTCATTTAGAGGGTTTGTTGGTTTTTTTAATGCATGTACATAGAAATAGGATGGGTTCCATCCTAAGAGATTGTAGACTTAAAGGACAATGAGCGCCATAAAACAGAGTTTAGATGTCTGGGTGATTTTTAAGGCTTCTATGCCTGGAGTCTAATTCTGGGAGAAGCAATGATCCCAGAGCATTGCCTTCCTGAGCAGGGTCATCTCTGATAAAGCATTCCTTACCCTTCTCTCTGGTTGGAGAGATTCACTGGGCACAAATACTCTTCTGTGTATTTTCAATTAATTTGGATCATTAAGTCAGCCAGGAGATCCACACAGTACTTCCATAGCAAAAGAAATTTTGTATTGCTGCTTGGTCCTTGACTTGTAAAGCTCTTCAAATGTGAATTCTTGCAGGCATGGTTAGTACCTGGCCTGTAGGTAGACAAACCCACCCCTGCTGTCCTTGCCAAACCCACCAGAAATGCCTAGACATGCCTGAGCATCTACAGGGGTCCCACCTCATAGCCTCTTAAAGTATGTAAATTGTGATCTTCTCCTTCTGCAAGTGTGTCAGTAGCAATACAAATTGCCACTTATCACTAACCACTCACACAGACTAGATGAAGTAACAAGGTGAGTTTGATGGCAGCAGCATATTTGGACCAAATAACAGATTCACCCATTTGTTGATCTGGTGAATCTCTTTGCAGGCAGGAAGAACACAGCTCCTTGATTTCTGTGGTCACGTTGAATGTGTGTCTCTGGCAATGGTGAGGTGGTCTGCTATGGTCATCACACCACTCACTGAGCCTCGGAAGTGTAAGACATGCAAGACAACTAGAGCTGGCAGTGTTTGGCCCCACCTGAACAGATGCCTCTCACTGAGGTGGTTCATGACAGACCTTTTAGTGTCAACCCGTGGAGCTTAGGGGAATACAACTCGGCTTCCTGAGAAATTTGTAGAATTTTCCCATGAGGCTAAATGTATCAAGTGGTTTGACACACATATGGATTTATAATAACTCTTTTTAAATAAGCAGCCTGTCCAGTGGTTCGCATGAACAAAGCTGGTTTTCCCTGGGTCTTCCATTGTTGAAGCTCTCCCAAATCTCTCTCACCACCTCATCTGTCCCCTCTCACTCACAACAGTGCAACCCCACACTCACCAAATTGCTGGTCATGCCACTGGTTATTGCCTACTTCACCAACTTCTAGAGGCAACCCAAAGTCTCACAGAGACAGGAGGATTTTCTGTCTTACAAAATCCTCCTGATAGGGGTAAGAGTTAGCACAGGAGCCATTGCCAATTACAAGCTTTACCTGAAAATGTTACATACTGGCAAATTAGAAATCAGAACACCTACACAGGCTTTTTCCTACTGTCCTTTACATAATTAATTTTTAGAAAATAAATACATCCAAACTTCTGACACTGCTCCTAGCCATTTTACATAGTTAAATGTTTCACTTATATTCTCTTCTGTGCAGTGTATGATGCTCTGGAAAATAAATAACAGTGTCAAAGGCCAGAAACAAGTCTTTGAGTCTTCTAGTTCTCAGCACATTTTAGTTGCCCACAAACAGCAGTTGGCAAAATAACAGCAAGCTGTAGATTTAAACAATCTCCACAGTCTTTCTCAGACTGCTGTTGTGTCTAAGAAACCGATTTTAAAAAATAAAAATTCACAAAGAAGAAACATTGAAAGGAAGAGGGAGTTTCAGTTCACACAGTATTGCATCTACTTGCCCCACTGTGGCTCTCCAAGTGCTATGCCTGTGGTGCAGGCTGGCTGGGTGTGAGGAAGGCAGGGCTGAGCTCTGCAGCCAGGCTCCTGCTCTCCCACCTTGCGCTGAGACACAGCACCCAACCAGTGCCAACCCACAGTTTCCAGTTCAGGGTTGGTCTCTGCCAGTCTGTCCCGGGGAGTTCACAGCTATCTGCAGAAGACTGCCTTGGTGTAGGAGCTATTTTCTCCCTGAAGCAGCTGCTCCAGTTTTGGATTGTCTTCTAGATATCACCGATCAGCCAGATATATTATGAGATGCTCATTTACTTTTGTATCTTTCAATCACTACTGACCTTAGCTAAGCATCCCATTGACCTTTAAGTATGCCTCAGAGGAGCTGGAAACAGTCTTGAAAGACAGCCATTTATTGCTAACTGATCAAATTATGCAAACACTAGACCAAGACTACTAGTAAAGTTCCTGTTTTTCTCCAGCAGGGTTGGTGCAACGGGCACTTACTGGGAAAAGGCAGGGAGAGTCAGGAACTTTTGAAATGCACACTATACTTCTTGCCATAGGAAATTCCCCTGTGCAGGCACCCACCTGTATGTGCTCTTAAAATGGTGAGACCAGAGCATCAGACATTCAGCTGCACTGACCCTAATGTAAGCACTAGTCATTTGTGGTATGAGCCTTCAAAACTCAGCCCTGTATTTGCTTATGCCAAATATATTATTTTCTGAGCTTATAAGACAATTACAAGAGCTCATTTGCTTTCTTTAATTAATTTATTTATTTCTCTGTTGGTAACAGGATCCCTTTTGAACATTACATCTTCTCCTGTCCTTCACTGTAAGGAGTGTGTTGTTTACCTGTCAGTGGGCAGGACCCAGTGCTTGATGAAGAAGGTCATACAGCTGAAAGCAAAGGCAGGTTGTCCCTACTATCTGCTCACAGAGCCACAAATTCAACCTATTCTGCTACATGTCAGCTTGAAACAACCAGGACTTGTTAACATTTCCCTCCATAACCAAAGCTCTTGTCTAATACCTGCTCATCTTCCCAAGACAACTCAACATCCAGGTCAACAACTCAAATAATTCATCCCCAAGACAGAAGGATGACAAATATTCATAATGGACAGGGGACAGAAATTGGGCATCATCTTGTCAGATGTTTGGGAGTGAAAATTTTGTTTGTAGGGATAGGCAGAAAACATGTTTTAAAAGGGAAAAGATCATCTCTTGGAAAAGCACCTGATAGGGTTAAGCAGACAATACCTCTTCCCTCAGGAGACAGGGCTCCCAGGCCATGGGACAGGACAATGGGGAGGCACACAAATTCCAGCTGGGTCTAGGGTGAGGCACTAAGGGGCAGCAAGATGATCTGACCTGCAGAGCTAATGCTCTGTGTAGGATATGTAACACCTACAGAAAGCCCTGGGAAGGAGAGGAGGAAGACGACTGCTGCCACACTTCAGAAAGTAGGGCTTATGTGGCAAAAGCTCACTGGGGGAGAGGAGCAGACCAGGATGAGGGTCTCCTGAAGCAGGCCTGATTCCCATCCTTTCCAACCAGAGAAAGGACCACACTTACCAGCATCCTTCATTCCTGAACCATCAGATCTTCTCTTTGTCTAGATATTCCAGGGGCAAAGGGGAACTGTTGAAATACTCATCCCATCTTCCCCAAAGTCATCCAAATCTTAAACAACAGTACCATTTCCAACCCTCTATACACAATGATATATGCTAGCAATAGAAATAGAAAAATGGCTGAAATATATAAAGAAATAAATATGAGCTCACTGAGCTGGATAGTGCATCTTTTTTAAGCTGTTCTGTTCTCTATCAAGAACCAGAGAGTGCTCCCTTCCTGCAAACAGCATACTCAGAAAAAATGAATTTATTCCATACTCATAGAAAAATACACTGCTTGTTTAAAACGTCCTTATGCTTAGAAGAAAAACATGGAGTTTAATCCATACTCTGCAGCAAATTTTGGAGTAGTGGCTGTTGGAGAAAAAATTCCCAGTATGGGAACATGGTTCTTTGCTCAGTCCCGTCTTTCAAACATCAAATATAAGAGCTGTTGTCCCGGTGTTTCCGTTTCTTGCCACATTTACTAAAGTGACTGAAGAAAGAGAAGGGGAGAGGAGTATAAGAGTGAAAGAAACAAGAAAAGATGTAGTCCCAAGCTGTAGTCCAAGCTGCAGTACTGAAACATTTACTTTCTGCATAGAAAATTTTCTCTTTCTTTAGTTTGCACATTGAAGCAAACAAAAGCTGCTGATGTGATATTCAAAGCCACTGTTTGAACTATTAATGTATAGCACCAGCTCCTCAAGAAATTGACTTCTAGGGAAGACATGGTGTAAGTGTTCCCTGTATGCCCTCAGTGCAGTGAAGAATCTGGCTTAGCCTGTGTCAGGAGTGGCAAGGCTGTGCCTGCAACTCTTCAGCTACAATTTCATCTAGTATGTGACTTTGCAATGATAATAAATTGTGGATATGGTCCCAGGATCAAGGGCCTTTCCTCAAAGGATGCTTTGATTGAGGTTATGGCTGGTTCTCTTCAGCAGAGAGTTACAGGCTACACTTTGCAGTATCTCTTTGGGCACTGTTAATTTCTGCTTCTAGAGGTGCACAAGGCCTTGTATTTTGTGCCTCTATGAGAAAAATGCAGATTTTACCCTCATAGGTTTATTTCGAACAACCTACCTTAGTAGTATTGAATAGTTCACATTTCTATTGAGGTAAATACCACCTGCTCATAACATCAATCTGACAAGGGAATTTACCTTGACATCAATAATTTATGACAGCTGACAAGGTTAGACAGTGCTCTCAGGAGAACTCATCCATATCGTACCTTGAAAGTTGCTCCACATCCTCCACTGTCTCAGGTAATGAGATTCCCTTTGTCTCCGGTAAAAGTAATACTAGAAGCCCACAGACAACTGCAAGAATACCTACAAGGGACATTGCAGAAATACAAAAGCAGTAAGAAACTTGCTCCTTTTCTTATTTTGGGGGCTCATCCACTGAGAAACGTTTATTCAGATTAAGGTTAAACTGAGATTTTAAAGTGCAACAGCAATTTCTTATTGCCCTACTCTCACCAAGCACATTTATGATACTTTATTTTAACCATAAAAAGAAACAACAAACAAACAAACAAACCAAAACAACAAACTGAGAGCTAGAGATTCATTTGCAGCATGAATTGCTCCAAAAGGGGATCTTAGAAGTCAAAACGTTAGGGAAGTGCACATGGGGAAGCACATACAAACTGCACTGGAACCAAGACAGTGTTTCTCACATAAGATAAATCTGCCAGTGTTCAGGGGGCTCTTTCACATAGATGCATCTGTGTTTCTTGAGATCACTGAGATTTTCCTGACATACTATCTTCGTGTGTCCATGGCCAAGGTAAATTATGTCAATATGAATAAAAATTCATCCTTGGGAAAGGGCATTTAGATAAAGAGCCAATACGAAATCGTTCACCAAGAATGGTTATTTTGGAATAATTTCCTCCATAGATACAATTTAAAGTCTGTAATAAATAAAAAATAGAAGAGCTGGAGTGGAAAGTAAAGTCCCTGACTGTTGCACAGTCTTCTCTGTTCCTATCTGATTCTGTAGCTCTTCACCCAGTTCTGCAACAGCAGAGTTTCAGAATTAGGCAATGTGACCAGTACTTCTATATAGATCTATTCTTGGAATAATGGTAATTTAAAAAAAAAAAAAAAGAAAGAAAAAAAAAAAAGTCTCTTGTCTTTCCATTTTTGTTTTCAAGCTAAAATTTTGATTAATACAACACCCACAGTCATAAATGTATATACCAAAAAAATTAAAATATATATATTTTTAAGGGGATTAACCTCTACTGTTGGGAGTTACAGAACTTAACAGTAAGGCTTTTCCATCTTAAAGCACCTCACATAGTTTCTTTTACTCTTCTTCAGCCAAGTCACACAAGCAGACCTGAGCTCTTCCTTAGTGTGCCATGAAAGCACCCACTCTTCACCTGTTTGTTGTTCAGCCTCTTCTCAAGGCAAGAAGGTTGAGAGGAGCTGGTCTAGGGGAGAGATGAGGGCACACACTACACTTTCGCCCCAGAAGAAAAGCTCTGTGAGAAGGAGGGTATTTAAGCCAAAAGTACATTTAAAATGAAATCTTACTGAAAATAATTAGAGGTAGCTCCAACCAAATGGCTGCCAGGCGGAAAAGGAGGCTATGATCCCACCTAGGTCACACAAACTCGAGCACAGGGAAACACCAAAGTTTCTGCAAAATAAAAATAATGCCATATATTTGAGAGGCACTACCAAACAGATGAACCAGCAGTTCCGGGAGCAGAATGTAGACTTAGCTCCAATATTATCTCATTGGAATATGCCATCCACATTGAGCAGGGGAAATTCAGTTGGGAAACTCTGGAGAAAACCAAGTTTTACTAAAAAGTGGTGAAATAGGGAACAGGGAAAAGCAGAAGTCAAAAGCTCCTGGGAGTTTTTAACGTACCTCAGTGTCATAGGATATAGTTCAGTGTTCACAAGATAGACGATTTCAAAAGCTATTGTGATGGCCAGTCTTCCCAGTGTGGCAACTGTTGTTTTGAGCCATGAAATATCTGTTCATTTAAAAGAAACCCGGGTGAAACATGCTTTGCTGCACCAGCTGAATGTTTCTGAGAGCCACAGGCCCTGCCAGCAGAAGCTCTGTCACAGAAACAGTGGATCTGTGCTGGTCAGGCTGAAAGGCCACTGACGTAGATAGCAATCCATACTGAAATTTATTTCTTTCCAGCTTCATGCAAAAATGGTTTGGAGAATGAGAAACCCCTTCCAATTGACTGATTCAAGATTCTGTTGGGGCGTAACAGCATGGCTGGGGGAATGAATGTTAAAAGCTTCTAAGGCAATGATCAAACTGTGCTCTGAAAAGGAGAATTTATTTATATAGCAGTGTTGTGCTGTAAGAGACACCATTGAGTCAGCTCCCAAAGCCTTCTGATTTCAAAGAAACTGCCTCTAAAGATGCATCTGCAGCAACAGTAAAATTATTCTCCCTTGCGCAGGCCAGTATAATTTCATAATTTTTCTAGCCATTGCACACGAGACACGCTCTTAATAATACTCCCCCTTCCAGGCCCTGGTCTTGTCTTTGTGCCTGGCAAGACTAGCCCAGGGGCCTTGTGCTGCCTGGGTGGCTTTGCCCAGCTCTCCCAGCTGCACTGGAGCTCTAGTACCCAGCCACTGCCCTGTATGCATCAGTGGGGTGTGCAATGGTCATTTCTGCACTGAGGGGCAGAGCCATCCTGTCTCACTGTATGCAACCCCTCAGCACTCCCACTGCCCTCTCTGGAGAGCCAGTGACCTCTGGAGAAGTGTCACAAGGAATGCAAAAAGCACTTCTGCAATGCTCTTGGGAGAGAACAGTCACTTGTACGGTCTAATCACAGCCAGGCTGACAGGAAGGCGGATGAAACAACAAGCCTGAACCTGGCATGAGGGGGAGCTCTGCCACTGGAGAGGGCTCTGGCCCTAATTGTGTTTTCTCAAAACTTTAACAAGGAAAAACAAGAAAAAATTTCAGTTTGCTTTGAACAAAACAAACAAACAAACAAAAAAATTAAAAAAAAATAGATACTTGGGGTTATTTCAATTCCAAAACAACCAAACAAACCCCTATCAAATGTCATCCCATGTTGTGAGACACTGCCTTTGCCCTGAAAACTTTTGTTTTCCAACACTTGAAAGAAAAGCAAAGGCTGGAAAGAACAAAACAAATCCATGTTGTCTCCCTGGCACCCTGTCAGTCCATCAGACCTCCAACATGAGGATGACGTCTGTGCACCTCCTCCCTCTGCCAACAGACTCAAGCTGAGCACCCCAGAGTGATGGAGCACTCGGAAGCTGCCTCTGCAGTTTGTCCCATCTGTATAAACAGTCCTTTCTTGAAAGCAGGACTTTGACCTCAAGTGTCCCATCTGTGAGTATGTAAACCCCAAGCTGTCCTCTCCTCACATGCCAAAGGCCACCACATTCTCCCCTTGCTCGAGCCATGCCAACCCCACACAAGGGTCCTGCTCTAAACCCAGAGCTGCTGCACTGTGCTAGAGATACGGTGTGGCCCAAAATACATGAAAGGACCTGCATGAAAGGTCCTGCAGGAGTAATTCCACAGTGCCACTCTGTTTCTTCCTCTTGCAACAACCCTAGCTCCAGGCAATCAACAGTCCCAGGTCCTGCTGTCCCAGCAGGTCCTTTGTACTTTTTTAACAGGGGGAGACTGATACTGTCAAAGTCAGCAGATGGTGACCAGTCCCTCTGTGCCTGAATTGCTGTGCCATGCATTGGGGGAGCTGCCACAGGAGCATGGGGCAGCCAGCATCTGCTCAATATGTTGTGGTGCTTCTGAGAGGCACACAGCAGTGGGGAACTGGGGAGATACCAGACCTTATAGTTGTCCTTGAAGCAAGATAAAAATAACTTAATCAAAAGCCATATCTTTCCCTCAAACCCTTAATATTACCCAAACCCCTGGGAGGGTGAGAGCAGGGCAACAACCTCCATGTTGTCTGCCACAGCCTCTGCATCATGTTGTGGTTTGCATTGTTTTATTTGCAAATAAGATGACCACCAAGCTGCCTCAGCTAAATCACTGATTTTTTTATATCTTCCAAGTCATGGAATATATTTTTCCTTTATGTTTGCATACTCTTCCTTTCCATTTGTCTTCAAAACCAGTAGAGAGCCTTTCTTTCTACGACTACACACAGCTGTTGCTAACCACCCATCAAAAATAAGGACCATTACATGTCCCAGGGCAATCTATAAGCAAATAAGGTATGTTGATCCATGACTGTGGTGCTGCTTGCATCACCAAACACTTTTTACTTTTACCCACAGTTTTGTGTGGCCTGCTGTCCTTGCTTAAGGAGTGTCAGGGAGAAGTGATTGAGCTAAAGAGCCTGACTTTGGGAAGGGAATTACCTTCTGGCAAGAGGGCAGTAATGATGCATGCAATTCCCGCCACAATATTGCTTATTCCAAAGGGAAGGCACCGGCCAACACGATCAATTGTCACTAAAATTAGGAGAGCAGCAGGCAGCTCCACAGCTCCTGAGATGAAGAAATCTAGATAGAGATTTCCTCCAACAATTCCTAGGCGCATGACAAGCCCTTGGTAGATCAGGGCACTTGTGAACCTAAAAACAGCAAAGGGAAAAAAGAAGTTGAGAGGCAAATAAATTACTACAAGCAGCTGGAAAGACCCTTGAAGTCATAAAGGATTTTGTTTTTGAAAAACCCCCACCCTGGTAACAAGCTGGAGCACTCACCAGGCATACATCAGGATAAGCGTGTTCCTCCTCATCCGGGGAGTCCTCACCAGGTCAAGAAAGGAGGGATTGCTGACCTCATCATTGCTAACAGTGATCTAAGGAGTAAAGTAAGCAGTAGGGTCAGCTGTCAGGGGTCAGGCAGGAGCTGGGGCAGAGTTTCTATGTAAACATGTTGCTCAGCAATATTCCAGTCCAGCAAGCAAAAGTGATGATTAAGCCAGATTGCTGCTTTCAGCACTCCAGAGCAGTGCACAGATTTGGGAAATAGCTTGTAACTGGACACAGCTGTGGACTTCCCTTAATGACGATCATGCAAAAATCAGGAAAAAAATCCCCAGTCTTGACTTGAGAATGGAAAAATTACAGGAAAAATGATTTCCTGTGAACAGTTGTAAATGGAGAGAGGTTGACCTTGAATCTCTTGGAAGGCAATAATCAGTCGTTGTCCCAGGGTCACTGGGAGCAGAGCTCCCTTCTGCCAGAGGTGACAGAGAGCAGAAGACCAAGGCAGGAATGGGCAAAGCCATGGGCTGCGGGAAGCAAGGAAAGAGGGGATGGGCAGCAAGCAAAGGGCTTGGGAACACTGCTGGTGTCATAGCTGGGCAGCATGAAGAAAAGAGGCATGAGAGAAAGAGATCTGAGAAGAGTGAGAAGGCACTTGGGTGCTACAAAACATTCAACTGGTGAAATTCAGAGGGTCCTAAAATACACAAGCACTATGCGGAACATGGTTTTTACCCTGAAAGAAAAAAATCCTACAAAGTATGAAGTAATGATTCTCATACTGTCTACAAAGTGCAGTAAATCTGTTCACAGCTTCCTCTGATACAGTCACAAAAGGCACTCAATGAAATAATTAGTCAGAAGGTTTAACAGCAACAGAAAAAGGGCAGGGTTTCCCACAGCCTGTATTTACACATTGAAGTTCATTGCCATAGGATATTGTGGAGCCAGAATATTAGCAGGGCCAAGAAGGGCTTAGGCACAAGAGTGAAATTTGGTTTTAACTTTGGCCAGAAGTTTTTAACCATGACGTTCAAGCCAGGTGTCATCCCTCTGTTCATTTGGCAGGTGAGGAAGATGAAGAAGGGAAGGCAGAGGTGGTTTTAGGCAGGGACAAACCATGAGACTGCAGAAGAAAGGACAGCCTGGCTGGGATTGCCATTGGTCCTCAAAGCAGCTGTGGGCAACATGACGTTAAAACTGCTGCACCCTTTTCAGGAGAATTTCAGGCAGTCTGGCTGCTTTGACTGTCAGTTATTGCCCTTCTCCTCAGAGACCTAAGAGAGTTAAGAGAATTAAATGCCTCTCTCACCCAAGGGTGCTGAGGGAGCTAGTGGAGGTCATTGCTAGGCCACTCTCCATCATCTTCAGCAAGTCATGGGCAACAGGTGAGGTGCCTGAGGACTGGAGGATAGCAAATGTCACTCCAGTCTACAAGAAGGGCAAGAAGGAGGACCCGGGTAACTATAGACCGGTCAGCCTCACCTCCATCCCTGGAAAGGTGATGGAACAACTTGTTCTTGTGACTATCTCCAGGCACATCAAGGACATGGGGGTCATCAAGAGCAGTCAACATGGTTTTATCAAGGGTAAATCATGTTTGACTAACCTCATAGCCTTCTATGAGGAAATTACTAGGTGGATAGATGATGGTAGAGCGGTAGATGTGGTTTATCTTGATTTCAGTAAAGCATTTGACACCGTCTCCCACAGCATCCTTGTAGAAAAGTTGATCAGGTATGGGTTTGGTGATCAGGAAGTGAGGTGGATTAGGAACTGGTTGAAAGGAAGGAGTCAGAGAGTTGTAGTCAATGGGGCAGAATCTGGTTGGAGGTGTGTGACTAGTGGAGTCCCACAGGGGTCGGTACTGGGACCGGTGTTGTTCAACATCTTCATCAACGACCTGGATGAGGGTATAGAATGTACCCTCAGCAAGTTTACTGATGACACTAAGCTGGGAGGAGTGGCTGACACACCAGAAGCCTGTGCTGCCATTCAGAGAGACTTAGATAGGTTGGAGAATTTGGCGGGGAGAAACATGATGAAATTCAACAAGGGGAAGTGCAGAGTTTTACATTTGGGGAAGAACAACACCATGTCCCAGTACAGGTTGGGGGCTGAACTGCTGGAGAGTAGTGTAGGTGAAAGAGACCTGGGGGTCCTGGTAGACAGGAGGATGACCATGAGCCAGCAATGTGCCCTTGTGGCCAAGAAGGCCAATGGCATCCTGGGGTGCATTAGAAAGGGTGTGGTTAGTAGGTCAAGAGAGGTTCTCCTCCCTCTCTATTCTGCATTGGTGAGGCTGCATCTGGAGTATTGTGTCCAGTTCTGGGCCCCTCAGTTCAAGAAGGACAGGGAACTGCTTGAAAGAGTCCAGCGCAGAGCTACGAAGATGATGAAGGGAGTGGAACATCTCCCTTATGAGGAAAGGCTGAGGGAGCTGGGTCTCTTTAGCTTGGAGAAAAGGAGACTGAGAGGTGACCTCATCAATGTTTACAAATATGTAAGGGGGGAGTGTCAGGGGGACGGAGTTAGGCTTTTCTCGGTGATGACCAGTGATAGGACAAGGGGGAATGGGTGTAAATTGGAGCATAGGAAGTTCAAGGTGAATATCCGAAAAAAATTTTTTACTGTGAGAGTGACAGAGCACTGGAACAGACTGCCCAGGGAGGTTGTGGAGCCTCCCTCACTGGAGACATTCAAAACCCACCTGGATGAGTTCCTGTGTGATGTACCCTAGGTGACCCTGCTCTGGCAGGGGGGATGGACTAGATGATCTCTCGAGGTCCCTTCCAGCCCCTAAGATTCTATGATTCTATGATTCTATGATTCTCTAGCACCACAATACTTGCTGCCAGATGGGCATGGTAGCTCAGGGGAACAATCCCAGCTGGAAAGTCGGAGGGAGACATTGATGAAAGGATGGAGTAGCACATGAGAACATGCAAATCCAGGATAAGAGCAAGGGTAAAGCCAAAGGCATTGCCCGAGGGTCTCCTCAGATCAGCCAGGGCTATGCCCAAAACTTTTGCCCTTTATTTGATCTTCTTCTAAGGTAGCACAGGTGTTTTTCAGTGAGAGTTGGTTGGGTGTCTTTATGCATGACTTTCTTAAAAAGTGAGAGACACAAAACTTTGTAAGTGGACAGAGAAATCTCACATTTGTTTGAACTTCCTTTCTATTCCCTCTTACTTTTCCTCTGTACCCAGAGCCAGAAATTTTCTTCAAAGTGCTGCCACTTCTGCTGAGTGCCAGAGCCCTTTGTGGGGCAGCCTGAGGTTGCTGGGTTTCTTCACTGCTTTTGGACTCTCTTATACTATGGTTATAAAGCTGCCATGGCTGTGTTTGTAGGAGAAGGCTGCCAACCACCAGTAGTGACTTTGTGTGGATATGGTTTTAGTTTTCCAAAGGACTAAAGATAAAATCAGTATGGTTGCTACCATTTGTAATAACCCAAAGCATGACTGAATATTTTTTTATAAATGGGAAAAAAAAAATAACTAAAAAACAATCAGTGTGTGAAGTTAATTCTCTGTAGTGGAAAAAAGAAATCCTCTTTTTGTTCTTTGATGTCAGGGAGAGCTTTGCTATTCATATCAGTAGAGTCAGGAATTCAATGACAGGGCCCATGTTTCTGAAAATACTCTATCTGAAAACTCTTGAGGAAGTTTTACAACCAATTTCCTTGTCATTTTTGTGTCCCTCAAATTACATACCAGTTTTTCTGTAATATGTTTTCAAGATTTCTTGTAACATAGACACATAATTCCTCACAGGCTTAACTTTGCAAGGGACAGTACATCCATGTATGTCCAATTAATCTGTATTTAAGCTTCTATATTCTAGAACTATGTATGTCTATAGATGTGTATGTAGTAGAAATACATATAAATGGAGAGGGGTTTTGGACCCACGGCCCTCTCCAGAAGCCTCTCTTACTCAGCTAGTTGCAGTCCATTATGTCTTCGGACAAAGACCAAGAATGAAAAATATAGCATGAAGAAAAAAATAAGGTTGGACACTTACAAGCAACTGAAAAAACCTTATAATTTATGATTAATTTAATGAGCTCTGGACAGAGCTGAACTGTACCAGTGCTGTAACTTACAGAGGAAAAGGTGCAAATATCTCTCTGTTTTCATACAAAGGTCATTTTTGGTTTCTGCATGCCAATAAAAATGCAAGGCTGCTACATCCAGAGCCAGGGAAGGGATTTGGCCAGTGACATTGTTACAGACGTATTGGAAAACCTTAGCAAAAATGCACTGATGGATAATGTTTCTTCTCCCTGTCCCTCCACACCTGCAGCACTTTGCATGGAATTTTGAAGTCTCTTTGTGAAAACAAATTCTGACGTGAATTAATGTGAGAAATACACTTGATCTGCAACTAACGCGCTTCCTGGAGGTGCTTTCTCTCCTCTGGGCACAGCACCAAGGATGACAACCATTAAATATTAAAAGGTCCCAGGAACAGATCCAGCATGAATCTGGATGTGTGGAGGTTGATCTGCTGCAGCTGCGAGTGGCTTGGGGTCAAGAGCAGGAACTCTTCTGAAAAAAATTTAAATATAACTTGAAACAAAAAGCAAGAAAAGACACACATCAGGATTCTGATGTGGCATTTTGGAAATGCTGATGTTTAGAGGCGGAAAGTGGGTGTAGGAACTTGGGGCTGAGCATAGAGGGGGACCTGCAGCAGCACAACCTTCCCACTACATGTCTCCGGCCACACTTGGCATTGAGTAATGCTGACCAGGATGGAGGAATCTCAGCAGTGTATATGCCCCAGCTAAGGAAAATTTTTGGATTTACCTTTTTCTCTCCCCTCAATCAGTCTTTTCAGTTTGTTTTTCTCCCACTGGTTTCAGTCTGCAGTTCTCCAGTTGCATAAGATTCTACTCCAACATGACTAGCAAAGCTCATTCTGTGTTGTGGGACAGCTGGGGGTGATTTCCTAACCTTGGTTGGTATTGCAGAGATACCTTGGCTTCCATAGGAAAAATGGTCCACTAATTGTTGGCCTAGCTTGTTGCTGCTCATTAAAATTCCTGTCATGCTTTTTCACTAATGTACATCAGTCTTATATGTTATATCCCATTTCTTAGTCAAGGAAGTCATATGTAATTTTTGCCCCTGACAAGCCCTTCCTCCCTATCATTAACTTTTGTGTGCTCCCCTGAGCAACAGAACATTCCATAGAAACACCATTCTAGCAGTATTATGGCACTTTAACAAGTTGCTTATGAATAAAGCAGCTGGCTGTGGAAATGTCTGTTTCATCATGTTAACTTCTGCTGTTTAAGTCTAGTTTGGTCTTTACAAAGTCATTAGTCCACAGTCACATATCCTAAGAGGCACAATATAGGTTAGGGCTCAGCTTCTCTATGGAACCCATTGTGTGAACTTTTAACTTGCCAGAACTGTGATTAACTGTCATTAGCATACTCTTCATGAATTGGAAATAATAGAATATTGGTATAAATCAACTGGCCATTTCTGTCAGTACGCTTCCTGTGTGCACTTCAAGCCAAGTCTATAGTTGCAGTGGGAATGGTCCTGCATAAGCAGAGCTGCTTAGGCTGGCTGGGTGATTTATGGAGCCAGCTTCTTACCAAGTAAATAAAATCCTATGGATTAGGGAACAGCTAGCTGGTATTTCATAGGAGTGTCAATAATTACTGTTTGGGTTTTATGCAGAATTATACTCTGGGATTTTGGTGAAGCAATCCTACTTTCTTGGATAAGCAGAGCTACATTCTCAGGTTCTCCCTTACTAAAGAAGGGTGATGAGAAAGGCACAGGTAAGACACCAAGCTGTGGGAACCCAGGTTGCCCACTGCCTGTTACAAGGCATGCACATCATGGTGTCTCTTGCTGACAAGATGGGACATATCTGTCCCCCCAAACACTGCCATCCCAAAGTCTTTGCCTTTAGTCTTAGTGAAAATTTAGTTGAAAGTCACACATTATAACTTTGTCTATGTATAAAAATGAATATGCATGTATGAAGCATAAAGAATACTACTGAGTGTTGATAGATGAACATTGTTATGTAGGTCATTTCAATAAGAAAATTGCCATTTCTCTCTGAAGTACTTAGAGTGCACTCAGTATGCCACCTCTGGGCTGCTGTGTGCTAACAACTTGCAGCTGTTTTCCTCAGTTCTAATAGTGATTTCTAACATTATATTAGCTAGCATTTAGGCTCCAGACCTGGTTGGTTACAGAACAGGAATCTTGTTCATATCTGTTGCTGAACTGTAAGGCCAATGCTATGGTAAATAGGATCTGAGAGCCAGGCAGTGCTACCCAGCACAGAGCAAGGCACGTGCTGCAATGACATGAGAGCATCATCTGAAATGCAGCAGTACTTTCAGTTCTGTCAAGACCACTTATCAAAGGAATGTAATTCTAAAATAAGTTTCTCTATTTTGTGAATAGGGTTCTCAGAGAATGCTTCCCCTGTTTTGAATTTGGAGGCATATTTTCACTCTATTGGGATGGAAGCAAATTTATAATTAATTTTCAATTTCCTGCACCACCTTCTCTTGGAGTTGTCAAAGGAGTTCTAGCAAAAGAGCCAGGGAAGGGGATCCTGCTGTCTCCACTTTGTCAGCTAAAGCAGCAGCTGCTGTGAAATACTCTTGGCCTTCAGGCTAGTTTCTGATACTTCCCACAAGATTTTAAAGGAAGAGTATTGCAAATGAAAGACTTGATTTATTGTTTTGCAAACTTCTTTTTTCAGCCCGTGTCTTTCCAGCTAGTTAATTTTCAACTTCTTGCAATTAACAAAGCAGGTGTGGGACTGACAACCTTTTTCTGGTAACACACTTCAAGAGTGTTGCCCATCACATAAAGAGAATGTGTTTTAACACAACCGAAATTTCAAAATATTAAGAAAGTTTAGGGGAAAACTTCTCGCTCAGAAAGATGACAGTACCTCTGAATAATGTGGTGAAAGATATTTCCCATTGTGTTTTGCAATGTTGTGCATGATTTTTAATGCCTTCTCTCCCTTTTTGCGTGTCAGGAGCCAACGTGGAGATTCAGGAACCACCCTGTAAGAACACAGAGGTGATAAATAGGAGTTTTGCCTGTTAACACTGCAAGTAAACCAAAATCTTTTGCCTTTTGCTTTTGTTAATACATAACACACTGATTTTTCAGTCTCTGGGAGACAGAAACTCTTTTGTGGACTGCTTTTCCAGTCAGTCTCCTGAAAAATATCTGACCTTTGTGGGCAAGAAAGATTAAAATAGACTATATCATTACTCTGCAAAGCAGAAAAAAACCCCAAACAAACAAAACCTAACTACTGTATTTGCACAATAGATGTTTAAAGCAAAATAACCAACAAGCAAACCAAAAAGGTGCCTGTAGGACAGCAAGGAACAATGAAAGTTATCACCAAACATGTATGGTGCCAAGTACAGAGAGGCTAGAAAACTTCTAACTGTTTAATGATATAAGATATACACACAGTCAAACATATAAATATTTTATAAACTGAACACAAAGTAATAGTACTGACAGTGTTTCAGTTTCTGCTAACCTAGCACTAAGATGATCAACAATCTAAAACTTCACAACAGCCTATATGTGAGAAAACATGTAGGGTATGGGAATTAGTTTCTTTGGATCCAGGCCATTGGATGGTTGTGCTTCACTGGGACAGATGTGCACCATGGCATAGTGCTCTGCTTTCTTGTTAGCTGTAATGCCCAGTTCATGGGACCCAGAGGGGAAGTTTAAGCTTGAACTGAACACATAATTAGAGATAAAGGTGGCGTCCCATGGCTGATGGGAAAAGCAGACTTTCATCAAGTTAACCAGATGAACAGCCAGCCCCAGGCTAAGCAGGAGGACAGCAGTGTTCTGTGAAGAGCTAGCTGTGGCTGGCAAGAGAGGCAAACCCTGGGCAGAAAAGGGAAAGTAACATGTCTCTGTGATATACTTTTTATGAGGTTAAAAATGCCAAAATCAACAACCTTTTTCCCAATCTACAACATCTCACACTTTGGAGACTTTAGACCACAGTGGAGGTCTCAAGGTTCTCAAATAACAAAAGCAATAATATCAAGAGCAATTACTGCAATGTTACCAGTAGTATAGCAGGAAGAGGAAGTTGGGCAGTGAAATGGCCAGCTGAATGCCCTGCCAAGTGGGAACCAAATACGCAATTCCAGGGAGAATCATAATTCCCAGGGTGAAAAACATCTGAATCACAATCCCAACGAACCGCTGGTCAGAACCAACGATCTCTGTCACTGAGCAGAAAGAAAGCCAAAATAAACAACACAGAAACAAACCTACTGGAAAGAAAAAATGTCAGTGGTGGAACATAAGAAAGGACAGTACTGTACTGGGTCACTAGTCTGTCTAGTTCAGCATCTTGCCTTCAGCACTGTAAGCATGTCACCGAGACTACCCAGGCAAAGCATGGGCAACACCTCTTCATCAATTCACCCACCATTCTTCAGCTAGAGGGGTTTCTGACTGCATGTTTACTAATGAATTATATAAGACCAGAACAGGAGTTTGAGACTGCATTATGATCATGTTTAATGGTAAATTGTTAGCACTCTTCCAGGCACTAGAATATCCTCCAAGCATGTGGCTGCTCCCAGCAGGTAATATGGACAAGGCCTCTGTGGGTATACACAGAGAGTTTAGCCATACCATGCTGGTTGCTCTGAGGGCTAAGGTATGGTGTGATCCACAGCTTACTTCATGTATCAGAGCAATTCATTAGTCTGATCTGAGCATCGCAAAATGTTCCTTTCTGTTCAAACTTGGCAATTTTAAGGAAACGGTTGGTCTGTCATAAAACATTCTGCCAGGGTTTTAGGATAAAAACTCAGTTTAAAAGTAGGCTGTGTGCTTGGAAGTGAAGAGAAAAGCAGCTTCTGACCCTTTGACTGGATCTGGGACTTGCTCAGCATGGTGTCTTTGCTCAGAAAACTTAGGTGCTTCTGGCCCTTAGATGTTGAGAGAGATACACTGGAATGTTGATGTGTCCACAGTGTTCCCAGGTCTTACTATAACTCTTTACATCTGGTTGCACTTCTGCTCTCTCTCTTGTAAATTCCACTAGGAGTTTAAAACAATTATCACAGGCCTCACAGACTACAGTGATGGTACAAATTTTTGCACTGTATAATGATGTTTGCATTGTCTTTTGGGTTATCACAGTAGATTAGTGAATAACTGATCTTCTTTTTGAGTAAATCTGATGTCTTATCTCTAGCAGGATGCTTTCATCAAAGCCATGCTATTTCATGCTGTAGACAAGAGTTCACCTTTCTGAACCTGGCAGTCATTCAAGATGCCACAACAATACCCTTTCCTCATTAAAAGTAAGTTTGTTATGGGAGAAGATTCATTGCTGGGCTATGACTATAACCTATCAAGATCCATGCTGGTTTGATGCTATTTATAGAAAGGCTTATCCCAAGGCCCAAGTTTTCTTCCCCAAAATAAAATTCTAACAAGAGCAGACATCGCCAGACTCCTTGTCCTGCAAGAATCCCTCACTTCTCCTAAGTAGAAAAGAAAGAAGATAACAGCTCTCACCAATCACGTAGCATGTCATCCAGGTTCCCTTGCCAAACACACCTTGAAGAAAGCGGAAGATCAGAAATACAGTAAAGTCTGGTGAGAATGCCACTATGATACCACAAATCCCAACCCCGAGACAGGAGAGCAGGTAGATGAGGATTCTGCCATATCTGTTGAAAAAAGAAAACAAAAGTGGAAATTATGAAAAGACACAAAGGGATTTTTTCCTGGCATCTTATTCTAACGCTAGATCCAAAAGTGCCTTTTTGAGACTAGACTTGTTCCCAAGGGAGGCTGCCTGAAACTTTGCAGCAGTGGAATATGGGACTTTTTTACAAGTGGCAGTTATCACTGCCTTTGAGTTACTAATTTTAAAGCTGGTGATGTTCTCACCAGGCTTCCTTTTATTTTAGAAAACATTTTGTCTTTTTGTATCCGAACTGTAGCTCATATGTTACAGTTCAGATTTTTTACTCCATTAAAATAAAGGCAGATTTTGTTGGGGATTTCTGTTTTCACAAGTTAGTCACCTAACAGCAATTACAGCCAGCTCTGTGAAAGTACATTCTCCAGTGCTATTGAAGGGCAACATTCATAGTTGTACAGTAGTTACATTATGCTTAATATACAAGCACTCCTGATATCTCTTCCACCTTACTTTATCCTTATTACTAGATCCCTTAGAATGATCAGGTTTTCCTTAGAAGTATTTTTGTTGCTAGTGATCAATTATCTGAGATTACATTCAAGATGATACTGTGAGTATTCCTACCTAAAAAAATTACCTTTAAGTTATTAATAAAAATAAAACAGGCAGAAAGCATGTATTTTATGAACTGAAGAAACATGCTGTGCCAGTGAAATAGTCAGTGGTGCTCTCAGCCAATGCATAGGTTGCCTATATTAATTACTAGCACAATGCACAAACTAAGCTTTAATATAAGAGCAAGGTAGAGCTTATGGGAGCTCCCAGCTCCAGGACAGGGCAGGTGCTCAAGTCTGAATATCATCCACATCTTTTTTCCTGATATTCATCCAGCACTAATACAGTTGAGGACTGGTTCAAGAGAGTGATGACCTTGATAATAAGTGTATAATGTCAAATCATGAGTGACAAATTTGTTGACCTTTTATGGTGGGGTCACAGCATCGGTGAACAAGGAGAGAGCAACTGACTTAATCTACCTGGACTGGTACAAAGCCTTCAACACTGTCCTGCATGACATCCTGGTCTCTTAATTGGAAAGATATGGATTTGAATGGATGGACCACTTGGTGGATAAGGAATTGGCTGGATGGTCACACTTAAAGACTAGTGGTCAATGGCTTGATGTCCAAATGGAGACCAGTGACCAGAGGCATTCCTCGAGGGTCAGTACTGGGACTGGTCCTATTTAACATCTTTGTCAGCAACGTGAGCAGTGGAACTGAGTGCATCCTCAGCAAGTCTGCCCACGACACCAAAGTGTGTGGTGTGGTTGACACACTGGAGGGAAGGGAGACCATCCAGAGGGATCTTGACAGGCTTGAGAGGTGGGCCCATGCCAACCTCAGGAAGTGCAACAAGGCCAAGTGCAACATCCTGCACCTGGGCTGGGGCAATCTCAAGCACAAATACAGGTTGGGTAGAGAATGGATTGAGAACAGCCCTGAGAAAAACAACTGGGGATGTTGGTTGATGAGAAATTCAACATGAGTCAGCCATGTGCACCTACAGCCCAAAAAGCCAATTATATCCTGGGCTGCATCAAAAGAAGTGTGGCCAGCAGGTCCAGGGAGGTGATTCTCCCACGCTACTTCACTCTTGTGAAACCCCACCTGCAGTAGTGTGTCCAGTTCTGGAGCCCCCAACACAAGAAGGACATGGAGCTGTTAGAGCAATTCCAGAGAAGAGCGATTAATATGATCAGTACGGGGCAGTGCTGCTATGAAGGCAGGCTGCAAGAGTTGGGGTTGTTCAGTCTGGAGAAGAGAAGGCTCCACAGAGACCATATACTAGTCTTCTACTACCTAAAATGGGGCTACAGGAAAGATGGGAAGTAACTTTCTACTAGGGTTTATAGCAAAAGGACAAGGGGCAATGGCTTTAAACTGGAAGAGGGTAGTATCAGGTTAGACGTTCAGAAGAAATTTTTTCCTGTGAAGGTGGGGAGGCACTGGAATGGGTTGCCCAGGGAAGCTGTGGATGCCCCATTCCTGACATGTTCAAGGCCAGGTTGGATGGGGCTTTGAGCAATCTGATATAGTAGGAGGTGTCCCTGCCCATGCAGGAGGTTGGAACTAGATGATCTTTAAGGTGCCTTCCAACCCAAACCATTCTATGATTCTGTGATTCCAGCCTGTGAATGGAGAGAGTTACCATACTGAGTCCCTTCCTTCTTTCCTCAAGTAGCTGCTTTCTTCATCAATGGCACGTGTTCAACATCCTCCAGTGACCATTAGTCCAAAAAATTCCTTTGAATGTTTATTTTTCATTTCTGTGTCCTTCTGCCTTTCCTGGATCCAGATGTGCACAGAAAACATCAGAAACTGCAAGAAAACTCTTTCTGGTGATATTTTAAAGTCCAAACAGGATCAGGAAGGACTATCATGTGAAGTTGCCAGCCCAAAAAAAAGTGAAGATTTTGTTAACCCAGGGTGGTGATGTTTATCCAAGGTGAATTAAACCACAAAAATGTTCACAAATGCTTCTTGCAGGTTTCACTACAAGTGATTTCACCTCCAAACAAACCAAAGGAGAGCAACACTTGTACAGTACCTGTCTGCAGCATAGCCCAGGGTGAACGCACCGACCAGAAATCCCAGATTGAGGATAGCCTGTGAGAGATCCAGCATCCAGGCATTGCCGCACACCAGGTTATACTGTGGGAACAAGGGAGAGGCATAAACACCCTAGGTGGGTCATTCGTCATCCTCAGCGCAAAACCTAGGGACTACATAGAGCTGGGTGGGAAGGATAAGGAGAAGGAAGAAAAGGAAGAGAAAAAGGAAGTTGCAATGTGCTTGTTCAACAGCAAGAACTGGTAGGCCAGGGAAGTGTAGCCTTAACAAGCACCCTTTGAGCTATCGTGAAGACAGAGGGAGAGCTCCTCCTTGCCAAAAGGATGTTGTATTTCATACAACAGTTGTTTAGTTATAGAAAGCAAATTGCTCTTTTGCAAACCAAACACAATGTTGCCGGATATGCTGCCCAGGCAAAGCCATTATTTTGTTTAGTGCAGAGTAAGAGTGCACAGTTACAGCCAATGGAAACATGAGTTTATGTAAATGGTTTAATTATTTTTTTTAGTGCCTTCTAGATAAAAACAAAGCTGTGTGGTCTCTGAGGAAATGGAAAAAAAGAGATCTCCGATTCAGAAATTTCAGACACATTGAATACGTATTTTCTTTGTGCAGCTTTCCCAGACTTTTCTACTCTTTATACTGCACAACAATAATACCCTAAGATGACATTATATTGGTGCATATCTGAAGAATTCGTTAACAGGGATGTGGAGGAGCAGGGCTGAAGAGAAGAGAGACGTTGAGGAGAGGAATAAAGACAAAGAGACTAAGAATTAAAAATAAAATGAAACTAAAATTAAAAGTAGTTATCTGGACAGCATATAATTGGAATTTACTTCAGAGGCTCTTTGAGAGTAAAGAAATATCAACAGCTGCCTTCTAAGTTCTGCAGACCTTACAGAAGTTGGGAGGTTTCCATCCATACCTGGTGTAACCTTAGGAACAATGAGACTTTGGGGCCAGAGGAAGCCACAGCAGCCACCATTTACCCTACAAAGACCATTTCGCTTTCAGGCATGAACTGCAAGAAATCCTTTCATCCCTGACTAAGTGCCACTTCCTGAAGCACATTTGTGTCCTGGTGTCACGTTTGTGCTCCCCAGCATGTCTACAACAGCAGTGTTCAAACACAGTCCTTGGATGAGGCTGCCACAAATTAGAGAGAATATTAAAACCCTCTTCTGCCACTCACAGTTCGCCAGACTTTGAAATACAGTGCTGCAAGCTTGACCTCCATATTAGCCCATTTGCCTGCTCTAATGTCCAGTGAATGTCACCTAGGCCTGAGGTTTCAGATGTGCCTATGCAGGAGACAGAAGGGACACGCAGACTTAAGATTTCACTAAGCCTGAATCTGTACCCAAGACTCTAAAGCAACACTCCTAAATTTGTATAGATGTATCTAAATAATAAACAGTTTCCTTTAATATTCTGCATTCCACACAGGTGCTATTCACACTTAATTCTATGGGCTATTCTTCACTTTTAAAAATGAAACTCCTCAGTTTTAATTTCAAATGTATTATTATCACTGTCACTAGATACACCAGATTCACTGTTGTTAGTTATCGTGATTTTACAAAAAGCCCAGGATTTGGGGCTTTTTGGGCTCTTCTGTTTTTCTTGAAGCTACAAGTCTGGAAGTTTATGACTGAGAATTGCAGTTTCAAGCTCACACAACTGTGAAGAAAAACTTGGCTAGTAACCTCATAGGTGCCCAACCTGCCGGATATCCCACTGCCACTGACTGTCATACAAAGGCCTATTGCAATGCTTTCCTAAAATAACCTGAACATGGAGTAGCACTTTCAGTCTTCAGACACTGATTAATCTCTTGCTTCTTGAAACTGTGACAGCCATAAAAAATAGTATCAAAAGATGCAGCTTCAGCAAGTACAGTCTTTTCATGAGAATGGCTATTAAAAGAAGATTTTAGAAGGCAATATTGATGACAGAGATTGGGTCTCTCATAGGAGCACCAGAAGCCACCTATAAGGGGCAATATAGCTTACCTCAGCACACCGAACAGCTGCCACCCCGGGAAGGAACCTGCCCTTCCAGGAGCAGAAGGAAAGCCACAGAGCCAGCAAGGTAGCTCAGCTCCCCGGGTGCTGGTGGGTGGCTATGCCAGGCAGTGCCAGAGCTGTGGCCAGATAGGGAGCCCACCTGCACCTGCATGGAGCTGCCAGGAGGGACCAGCCCCAACCCCTGCTGCAGGGACTGGCCTTCAGGGCTTATACGTTTGATCCTTTTTCAAAGAGTATACTTATTTCTTAAATAACTTTATCCCTCTTGACTGTAAACAGGCAATAAATATGCTGTCATGAAAAAGGGCAGGAGAACTAACGCATGCCAAGAGAGAGGGGAAAATACCTTGACTGGAGAGGACTCTTTCATCTGAACAGCAATTTCAGATGATTTAGGTGGCAGTTGAAACTAGCTGCTGGCTAGCAATATAGTCAAATATCTTAAATATTCTGGGAAATAGGAAAATACAGAAAAAGTCTAAGAAACTATGAGCTCTTTCTGAAGAGATCTGTGACAATAAGCTAACTGTGCTCTCCTAAATTAGTCCTGTTCTTTGTTATTTTCTAAGAATTTAAGTAACTTCTGGTGGTAAGCATTCTCAAACCTTTTCTGTTTGTTTGACCTAGCACCTAGCATTTAAGTCATCACCCTGCTAATGCCTTGCTTTTCATTTGCAAACATAACCTTTAGAGGGGAATGTAACCTTTAAGAGAGAATTGCACACTCTGCAGAGATCTTTTTTTGATCCAAGCCGCCTGTCAAACCCACACCACCACTTCAGCAGTGATCTGGCTTCCTTGTGCCTGATAGTTATCCCCTCATCACTTGGAGGAAAAGCATCTCATCTGTTTACCCAGGGTTTCAGCCTGTCTCCAGTTAGCCAATAGCCTTCCAATGTGACAGCTTCCCTCAAAACAGCTCCCATGTCCCTTGCTAGCAGCCTCCACAAAAGGGAGTGGAGTGGTACCAACTCTGCCTCTGAATAGTCATGTGCCCAACCATGCATGGGCTGATGTTTGCACTCCTACCACACAGGCTGCTCCTCATGAGCTCACTGACCAGGAGCACTTCCATATTAATATCCAGTGCCATCAAGGAGCAGAAGAGCTATTCTTGTTAGTAACCATCTCCCACTGTGAGTAAAATGAGATTCCATTCCCTAAAAGTACATGTTTTTCTCATAATATACAAAAAAAATCCCAGAATATGGTCTTTAAATGTCACTGACTACCTTCCTGTGGTCCCACTTAGTTTCCAAAATTGGTAACATTAAGAATAAAAACTTTAGGGTTCTCTATCTGCCTAGACCACAGCTCTCTTACTTTGATTTTCTTTGTTTTATTCCCAATTAAACAAAGTTCCAGTTTGGCAACTCCAGGGAAGAAGAGCTATAGCTCACACCAATTGAAAACAAACTTTGAAAACATGTAAAACCAGTGGCTTCTTGCTGAGCATGAAGCAACCCTCAGCAAGCCAGCACCCAGCTGAGTGTTATCTTCAGAAGCATCACCTCTGTGGCTGCAACATCACACCTCTGCTGCTCCAGAAAAATTTGGAACACATTCTGGAGAAGTAGATGTAGGATTGAGTAGGGCTTACTGTCTGACTACTCTCTGTGCATCTGTAGGTGTCTCTGCCCATAGTGTCCTCATTGTGCATGTCTTTGCCAAGAAGTAAGCATTTCCGCTTTCACTTGAATAAGCTCACCCAGGATAGCACAGCAGAAAGGGAATGTTACCATGTTTTGTTTTCTGTCCCCTTTCCTCCATAGACTGTAGATTTAACTGCTAAAACATTTGCTGAAGTGTGGAGGGAAGGATATGGAAAGGGAAATCATACAATCATAGAACGGTTTGGGTTGGAAGACACCTTAAAGATCATCGAATTCCAACCTCCTGCATGGGCAGGGACACCTCCCACTAGACCAGGTTGCTCAAAGCCCCATCCAATCTGGCCTGAACACTTGTAGGGATGAGGCAGCCACAACTTCCCTGGGCAACCCATTCCAGTGTCTCCCTACCCTCACAGGAAATAATTTCTTCTGAATATCTAACCTTGATTTACCCTCTTCCAGTCTAAGGCCATTGTCCCTTGTCCTCTTACTACAAGCCAGGAGAACTAACGCATGCCAAGAGAGAGGGGAAAATACCTTGACTGGAGAGGACTCTTTCATCTGAACAGCAATTTCAGATGATTTAGGTGGCAGTTGAAACTAGCTGCTGGCTAGCAATATAGTCAAATATCTTAAATATTCTGGGAAATAGGAAAATACAGAAAAAGTCTAAGAAACTATGAGCTCTTTCTGAAGAGATCTGTGACAATAAGCTAACTGTGCTCTCCTAAATTAGTCCTGTTCTTTGTTATTTTCTAAGAATTTAAGTAACTTCTGGTGGTAAGCATTCTCAAACCTTTTCTGTTTGTTTGACCTAGCACCTAGCATTTAAGTCATCACCCTGCTAATGCCTTGCTTTTCATTTGCAAACATAACCTTTAGAGGGGAATGTAACCTTTAAGAGAGAATTGCACACTCTGCAGAGATCTTTTTTTGATCCAAGCCGCCTGTCAAACCCACACCACCACTTCAGCAGTGATCTGGCTTCCTTGTGCCTGATAGTTATCCCCTCATCACTTGGAGGAAAAGCATCTCATCTGTTTACCCAGGGTTTCAGCCTGTCTCCAGTTAGCCAATAGCCTTCCAATGTGACAGCTTCCCTCAAAACAGCTCCCATGTCCCTTGCTAGCAGCCTCCACAAAAGGGAGTGGAGTGGTACCAACTCTGCCTCTGAATAGTCATGTGCCCAACCATGCATGGGCTGATGTTTGCACTCCTACCACACAGGCTGCTCCTCATGAGCTCACTGACCAGGAGCACTTCCATATTAATATCCAGTGCCATCAAGGAGCAGAAGAGCTATTCTTGTTAGTAACCATCTCCCACTGTGAGTAAAATGAGATTCCATTCCCTAAAAGTACATGTTTTTCTCATAATATACAAAAAAAATCCCAGAATATGGTCTTTAAATGTCACTGACTACCTTCCTGTGGTCCCA